TCTTTTTGGTCTGTGAGCAACTCAAAGAGGCAGAAGAGAATGGCTTATCCAGTGGGAAGTGGAGAGAGGACCGTGACTCCCTTCCTCTTTAATCGACACTTGAAAAGCCGAGGGTCTTTCCAGCCCTTCCAGCTTGAGAAATGAAACTTAAGAAACAAGAGCCACCCAGCTTAGCTTGCCCTCAGATGGCCTCACACCTCACGAGACTTGCTGGGGTTGTGTTCAAATTCTGCCAGCCTACCCTAGGAGCTGCCGTTTTTTCAGTCCTAGCATATTGAAGTAGGATGTTATTGCCTTTAACTTTTTTTAATCCAGGGGAAGATTGCCATTTTAAGGTCAGCTTGAACAATTCTTTCTTATATACAATTTAAAATAAACCAGAACAGAAGCTTCATATGCCAGAATCCATAGACACACCTCTATGGTTAGACACAGACAAGCCTTAAAATGCTTTGATGACTGGGGGGCCATTCCTTAATCTTGACCCAGAGTTTGTGGCTGTGGGGTGTCCCTTTGTGGGGCCTCTGCTGGTGGCTTTGCCTTTTCTTTTTCCTCCTATTTGTTCTTCTGCAAAGTATACATATATTCACCTGTGCGCATGCACGCACACTCGTGCGGGAACACACACACACACACACACACACACACACACACACACACACCACACACAGTGAGAGGGAGATTTTGCCAGTCTCTATTCTCTGTTCTCAGAGCAGGATGGGAAGTCAGGTGGATGGTGTGTTTCCTCCTGACCTCTAGATAGAAAGAACAAGGGAAAAGAAGGAAAGAGACGCCCAGCCTGTGTTGGGAAGAATGAGCAATGTGGACAGAGACATTTTGTTGAATCGATCTCCTTGATAGGTTGATAACATTGATCTCTTGTGATCAGGCTCCGTCCTTGCAGGGACGTGAGGTCAAGGACATGTATGAGTTGCCTCTACCCACAAGTCTGTAAGTGCTGTGGGTGAGTAGTTCACCACACTGCTTCAACCTCAGGAAGACTTCAGTTCTTATTCATACACATATGTGCCATGTACACACACACACACACACACACACACATGTACTCACACATGCACATGCATGCCCACACGCACACACGCATCAGTTTATGTGTTTTTTATAAAGTGCCTTGATAAAAATGAAGAAAAATGTATTTCCCCTCTGGGTAGGAATCACGACGGTCTCACAAGTTAAGGCATTCCTCCTCCTCTGACCCCAGTGACCCCATTCCCAGCCCCCCTACCTACCCACCGCTGAGCCACAGCGGAATGGGTCCCACTCCCTGGGGAAAACCAGAACCCTAGATGACTCCTGAAAGGGAGGTGTCAGAAACAGAACGGAACTGTGTGAAGGATAAGATTGTCCTCAAGATCCAAATCTTGACTTTGTGTTAATGCCTAGAGATTGTCTGTGCTCTAGAAATCCATGACGAGCCCCACCAGTTTGCCCTGACTGTTGCATATAAGTGACAAACTGACCATTTTTGCTGCTGTGGTCATCCACGACTTCATTTGTCTTGTACCCAGGCCAAAGGAGCAGGGTGAACGGGACTGGCTGGTTCCTTTAAACGTTAACTTAGGAAAACGCTAGTTCAGATGGTAACGTCACGGTGTTTTGTATGCAGAGAGGGAAACGGTCATACCGACAGCTATTTATTCACATGTGTGTGTGTGTGTGTGTGTCTTTGCGCACCTTTGAGTTCTCTGTATCTACTGTGTATGTGCGTGGTCACGTGGAACTCAGTGGTGGTGTTGTGACTTTGACCTAGAGCCTGAGTGTTACTGCTGATCTTGGCACTCCTTGGCACAGTGGTAGAGGTGGAAAGTTAAGCTGTTAAGCCCTGGGGGGCTTAGTGTTAGGTGCCCTCTGAGCTGGGCATGCGGTAGAAGGAAGTCTGTATTCGCTCATTCTCCTCTTCACCCTCCCATGCAGCTAGGATTCAGAACCCTGAGAGCCTCTAGGGAGGAGAGACATTCAAAGGCCCACTCTGGGAGTCCTGGCCCTCTCATGCCCAGTGGACCATTTTGCTATAATTCCCCAAAGACCAGCCCTGTCTATAGACCTGAAGTTCTGTTCCATGCCACTCAACCTGTATCCCTTTTACAAGTCCTGCATCCATTTCACTTCGGCTGAGTTGAGGCTCTGAGTGGACCCTGAGAGCTAAACAGAAACAGGGTGCCCAGGGCTACAAGTAGATACCTCACCAAGGCTGGAGGCTGGTCTGTTGAAAGGTGTAAAGAAAGACAGCAGGGTCTGATTCTAACTTGGCCAGGGGACACCTTGGTGCATTGGTTCTCTTTATCTTCAGATAGGCTAGCTGGTCCATCTCCTTGAACAGTTCCCTTTGGGAAACCTAACTCACAGTATTGATCTCTTATTTTTGCCTTGTACTGAATGACACATTACCTCCACGCTCTCCGGGACTAGGTGGTCCACAGGGCCACAGGGTTGCTTTCTCTCTTTGGTGGGGATGGGGAGTTCACAGGGATGAGCATGAATGACAAGAAAATAGGGGTGGGGGAAAGTGAAGCTTTTCCAGGGTGTGCGGTTGAAGGGATTTGACCATTCACTGGCTGAGCCAGATCACGGGAACTCGAGAGCTTTTACTGTGATTCTTCAATGTAAAAAATAAACGATGTCAAACTGTGTTTATATGATTTGTATAAAGCCTTTTTAAGATTACTATTTAAATAAACATTATGCCAGAAGTATTTTTCCTGCATTGTCTTTATTGAAGACAAAGAGGGCCGGGATTTGGGTAACGAGATCGTCCCGTGTGCTGGACACTTTTCTGGATTTTACCACTCAGAGTTTTGTGTCCTGGGAAACACTCCCTGTTAGTCACCTTGGACTGCCACAAGAGGACGTCTTAGATCAGGCATCCTAACCATTTAATGCTCTTCCTTCTGGAAGCTGAGAAGTCCAATATCAAGAAACCAGCCCATTTGGTGGCTTCCTGGTTTGTAGATAGCTTCCTTCCCTCATGTGCGCTGTCTCACCTTTCCTTGGTGAGATTCTTTGACTGCCACGTCCTTGCTACCTAATCTAAACCTAGTTACTACACAAAGACCCCATGACCTCCTAATACCATCTCAGAGGAAGTTAGACTTTCAACATATGAATTTGGAGCGAATACAAATGACCTTCATTCTGGATAAACTGAGATGGTTTGTCATTCTCTTGAGACAATATTACTCAACACTGGAGTTAGTAGCTTGTACAACTTGTCAACATTTTATAAAAATGAAGATATCCTGAAGTCAACAATGGCTCACCTGGCCGCGGGGAGTATCTAACTACCGGTGGATCTTACCTGACAGACTTCAGAAGCTGAGATCCCTCTTTTGGATCGGTCGCTTCAGATTTTGTGCTGCTTCCTTTCTTCTCTTACTATTGATTCTCAACCTCTCTGATGGCCTCAAGGCCTGGGAGAGCTCTCCAGGCCTGGCCCCAGGCCAGCAGCACTGGCATCATCAGTTGGGAGCTTACTGGAGATGCACATTTTGGGTTCCATCCCAGACCTACTGAATCAGAAGCTCTGGAGACAGGGCCCAGGGGTTCTCTATTTCAAAAAAACCCACCAGGGAATCCTGTTGCTCTTTCTGCTCTAAGAACCACTGGTCTATAGCCTGGGTACTAGTCCCTAAATCGATATGGGATTTCCAGATGTTTTCTTCCATTCTCTGGGTTGGGTTTTCATTTTATTTTTTATTTTTTGAGTCATTTGAGATTATTATTATGCCTTTCCTTCTCACTCCACACCCTCCCATATACCCCTCTATGCTCTCTTTCAAATATATGGTCTCTTTTTCCATTAATTGTTGTTATACGTACATGTGTATATCTATATACATATACATTCCTAAATATAATTGACTCTGTCCGTATACTGTTACATGTATGTATGTCTTCAGGGCTGACTATTTGGTATTGGAAAACCATTTGGTGTGCTCTTCCCTGGGGAAGATTTCTTCTTCTGCTCTTGGCATTCCTTGGTTGGCTGTAGTTCTCTGTGTAGGGTGGAGGCCCTGTGTTCTCTCCTCTACCCACGTTAGCATATCGACTGGTGTTGTCCTTGCTCAGATCATTCTTTTTTTTTTTGGTTTTTTTTTTTTTTT